CATCACACATGCGCACTGGGTTTGTTTAGGTGTGAAAGGTCAAAATACGTATTTCACAACCAGAAATTCAACAGATAAATGTTTGACTTCACAAATTTCACATGTTTTAATTATTAGCAACTGTAACTATAACAAGATTCCGAGTGCATACAACAACAATTCCTAAGGACTCCTAAAAAATATTATCACAGAGAAAGTGTCTATGCATGCTCTTCTTTCGATACTATCTTTTCTGTTGGTGTTCGCTGATGTCCGGTGGTCAAAAATTTCGACAGTTTCGGGTGTCAAACCCACGCACTGACAATGGTACCATTGAATAATACAATCATGTCAAGCAATCATTGATTACGTCTCATCACCATTACGAATACAAAATTCACGATATTTCATCAGTTCTTCTTCAATCAATGTTACATTTGACAATTTTCCATTAAAGTTCGCCAAGATCCCCGGAAACAACAGCATTCAAACTAGACGCCATTTTCAATATTGTACATGCGAGGTTCGACTATCGCTTCCGAACATGCTCCGAATATTACCGAATGCTCGAGATGGTCGTAACCTTTTGTACGAAGGTGCTAAAAGCTAACAAGAACAATGTTTGTGAACAAACATTGACAAACGATCATGGGGTAAAGCTACACAAAACACAGCAATTATGTGATTAAAAGATATTGTGATGACTTAAAATTGGAAACTTCTAAATCACAAAATTCACCCCAGGCATGCAGTAAAGATATAACCCTAATCTTGTCAGACCCATGTAATTTAACATTGACTTGACCTCATAAAGATTAATTTTATTTCACCAAATAACTGGACAAACTTCTCAAGATGTGGGATAATAACAGTGACAGAATATTCACTTTCGCTAATGAAAAACTACAGAAATACAGAAACAGAATATCTCTTTCAATTTTTTTATAAATGTCAGCATGTTTGAGACACTTTCTATCATAAGTGGGAAGGACATATTTGTATTGTTGTTTGTTACCTTGCCTCATAAAGACACTAGGTATGATGAAAATGGCAGGCAGTCCAAGGCAATGAAAGGATTGTAACACATGCAAATTACAGGTTGCCCATTACATAATCAGGGGTAGCAGAATTGGAAACAAGCATTTGCACAGGAAAAAATAATGAAAAACAAATCCTGCAGTGAAAACAATTCTGCATACCTAAATATTCAGGAAAAAATTATTTCACACAGTGGAAAAAATTATTTCACACAGTGGAAAAAAACGAAATACAGCAAATTCATCATGGGAAAAAAAGTTTTTTCAGAGGGTTTAAAGCTCACTATTTTCTGCGATAAGTAAAATCTGCTCAATTAAATCCATGTGAACATGTAAAATAACAATAGAATTTATTGTTCTCAGTGAAAGGGCTTAACATCAAAATAGTGAAATAAATACAGGTGAAAATATTTTTTTTTACAGTTACTCATTCTGTTTTAAATCTGTCAGTACCGTGACTTCCGAGTTATTGTTGTACAACCACACTGGATACTAGCACATCCAAATAAGGACATGGGTCATTCTATACTCATTGACACACCAGAACAGAAAGTAGGAAGAGAAAGAATTTTTGCATTCCGAAACAAGGGACAACAGGTTAGCTTGCTGCTTGTGATTGGTTCTGACAGTCACTCTATCTCATATTAAAGGGATTGTGATTTTGACCATTTGGGGACATGAAATGTCATTTCATTCCACACCTGAACAGAGACAAATAAACAATCATAAAATATGTTTAGTTTGCTTATGTCCACATTATTATAACATAGTAACAACAGATAATTAAGCTATGATATCAGATCACGTCATCTATCAATAAACAACGCCCCCTTGCCATGGATATGACAGGACGTACACATTTTAAAAGTATTAGCGAAAATTTTGCAATATGACCACGTCTACCACAGAAGATGACAAAGCAGTAGTCTCTTGTGGAAAAACGCAGTCCATGAAATAACTTGTTTGCTACCCCTTCTAAATGGAATTCAAATTACCCCGGTGAAAAAACATTACATAAGTCAATAGCAGTTGTTATTTTGCACAAGGAATATGGAGAGAAAGTTTTTATTTGAATTTTATATAAAATAATTGTATTTTTATTTGCCCCCTTACCTCACAATGAACGGCAATGTTCGGTAATTTACTTCCAAACTAGAAGAGCTAATTGAACTTATAAACTCACCTTCGATAGTTGTTCGACGTCGCCATTTTTCAAACGCAGTTTTACTTTGAATGTTGAGGGCGCAATGCACCACCTCGTTCAAATGCATGTGTAACATATAAAAGATACCTGTTTCACTTAAAACGTCTACATCTTTACAAAGAATAGTTTGAGAAACAATAATATAAAGACAATATATGAAATAATCAAAATTCATTTAGTACATATATAAATATATTATAACAAGCCATGTTGCAGGTTATGTAGAAACTATTGCAAACTTAGGTGGTCACGGGCATTCCCGAGTTTTCTATAGCATTTACCCTCGCTTCTACGTTGCATTGTTCAACGTAGAATAGATGAAATTGGGTATATTTAACATACGTCATACGTCAATAAAATACAGATAATATTGTGTTGTGTATATATAGTCAGCTAACTTTTTAATAACGTGCTTTTACTTGACTCGGTTATATTTATATCAGCCGTTATATATGCGAACACTTTTAATTCCGGTGAAATGTATATTACTAAAGAACGCTTCCTTTTCTGTGTTATATATTTGACAACAAAATATAATTTCCGGTTGAAGCACGTTCACTTGAAATATGGAAAACAAAAATAGCAACGCCACTTGTTGAAGGCTGAACATTTGCTGGATGCAATAATGTGCGATTGCTGCAATTCAAAACATAGTGACAGGTTGTCAACACATCGATATATTTTGTTAATTACCCAAACATTACAAACATTTGCCATTATAATCTGAGGTATATTTCCATGTATTTGATTTGCATGCAATAAAGTATGCGAACAAATATAAAGTAACTTGGGTCATGAACCGAATTTAGAAGTTATCTGTGTAATACAGGAGAAATTGAAGATGAATTCCATCTAATAATGTCAAGTCAAAAATATGAACAACAAAGAAAGTATCGAGTTGAAAATATGACAGTAAATGTGTATCTGTCATGAGTATTCGCACTACACTACATGGCACAATGTGTTAAACATTGCCATTAAAATAACATCTCCGCGGCACAACCCATAGTATGAGAATATTTATAGATGTAATGTATTTTTGTGTGTTTACAGTTAATCTTATAATTTGTAAATGTAACTTATTTGCCATCCGGTCACTGGTAGCATAGTGGTTGTCGCATCAGACTCATGAAGGACGCAAATGCATCTTTATCGGGCTGCGCAAGTGAATAATCAAGTTCGGCATAAGGGGACCAATTCCGTTTAATAGAATAAAAGTTGGGTCACATCCATAAATATATAAATAAATCAAAACACATAAAAAATAGAGAGCCAGAGCGCAGGAACGCAGAAGACAGAACGCTAATTAGTGACTCCCATTTCATGTGTAAGTACATGTTAGTACGTCCATGATAATATACAGTAAATTATATAAATGGAGATTCCAGCAGTACCTTTCATAACCAAATTATAAACCCTACAATATGTTATACATTCAAATAATGCGTTACTCAAAGAAGCTTTTGTGGTTAACCAAAACATTAAAAGTAAATGGTATTTAGAAGTGACATCGTTATTAAACAATATCCAACAATATCATTCTTCAGTTAACAACTGTGATAAATTAACCTCGGCACAAATGAAACAAATTGATTTGGGCATCAAGGATGTATTCCTAACAAGATGGAAACGTGAGGTTCATAATGATAACCGCGCCAAAGCAAATGAGAAAAACAAACTGAGAACATATCGGCCCGGGATAATCGGCTAATCAAATCAGATTTAAACCTTGAGTCATATTTAGTCAAGCTAAAAAACTTTGAACTGCGTAGTGTGTTTACCAAATTTCGTCTTAGTGACTATAGTCTCAAAATTGAAATGGGTCGTCATAAAAAAAAAATGCCATTAAACAACAGGGTTTGTGACATGTGTAACAAAGTTCTAATTGAGGATGAAATGCATTTTCTGCTGGAATGCAACAAATATAATGAGTTGCGTACCAAACTGTTCAATAAAGCTAAGGATATAAGCCCAGCATTTTAAAATAAACCTGCAGAGTAAATATTCATGGAATTGTTACAGAATGAAAACGTTATTATACCAGTAGCACAGTTCATAAGTAAAAGCTTCGAAGTCAGGAAGCAGGGTCTCACTTGACATTTTAATGCCTGCTGTCAATTTAGTAATTTCATATTAGTTAGTATTTTAGAGATTTTGTATTATTTAGTAATTTAGTGATTGTATTTGTTATTTAGTATATTGTTTTTATATATATATTTTTCTTTGTACTTTCCTTCCGGGGATTGTGTAAGAGTCAAAGTAAATAAATAAAATTTACTTTCAACGTTGAGGGCGTTATGAATCTTCACCTCGTTCTCAAACATGTATAATATAGAAACTAAATGCGTTTTACTTTGCCTTAAATTAAATATTATTTGCGAAAACATGTAAAGACAATTAAGATTACAATCTTACTCTAAGAGTTTTCTAATGAATGATATTGTATCGTACAAAATATAACTCAAAAGTTTATGTAAAAAAATGCAAACTTAGGTAGTCATAGGCATTCCCGGCTCCCGCCATCTTTCTTTTTACTTGCTGTCTCCCGTGGCCACTAATCTGTGTTTTTAGGGTTAAACATTTTGCAATGAGACTGAAACGATTTCTCTTGCGATATTACCCTCCAGGTAAGCGGTGCATGTGACTAATCACCTTTATATAATTGTAGCGTAGGTTTTGTGCCCTCGAAACGATGCAAGTTCCAAAATTGACTCGGTTGTCAATATAAACATTACATTCGGGCCACTAGGACTGTATGTCATTACTCACTCGGTACAAGTAACATTGATCTAGAAATAATTTACTAATTATAACGCCGTTCGTAGCAATGTTCGATAACATCAATTTTATTTATGTAAACCATTTTCGGTTATGGCAACCGTGAGTATCAATCGCGCAATTATTGTGATGACATCGGATTTGTATCGCTCATTTTCGTGTTTCTGTTAATTAATTAAATGTATATAGTTACTGTAAAATACTTTATTTTACCTGGGCTTTTTGAGTGTTTTGTATGGAATTTATTTTCGCTGATTTTTGACAAGTTGAATGTAAAATATAGGAAAAAATGTATATTCGCTGGATTTTAATTTCACTGAATCATTCCTTCAGCAAAAATAACAAAAATTAATTCCAAGTGAAAATAGTATTTTACAGCAAGTGTTGATCCATAGCTTTACATAATATGTTATGATATTTTTATAAAACATTTTTTTTTTCGCATTTTATTCCAAAAGAATATGCTTTCATTGCCTTGGTTTTATTTTTATTTTTTTTTAATTTTCAGGTATTATCTTGGAATATGAACAACACGGTAATATAAAGAACAAGTCAATAGATTTATTAGATTTAAAACCTGAGTAAGTATTGATGTATCGTTGCCATGTCAAATCTCACAACAATATACCGTACTTCCCTGAGCATAAGCCCCTCCCCGAGTATATGCCCACCCTCTGTTTTTAGACATTTAACAGGTTGAGGGCATTCCCGAGTATAGGCCCAGGGTGTTTTTACGGGGCGTCAACGACATTTATTACAAACATGCATGTAAAAAGTGTATTTCATTACATAATAATCGTGATTGGTACGGTAGTTTGGTTCCTGCTTTTACGAGAAAACTCGCATTAATTTCAGAGTGCATGGCCCCCGAACGTACGGAACATGGTTCGCACCTTTTCTATTCTGTTATTTACTCAGGATGAACTCCGATGTTGCAATACTGAAGTAATCCATATTTCTTTTGAGTAGAAACCTGGGCATTGTACATTGTTTTACTTTTCGGAATAATCCATTGAGACTTTCGTGAATGGGATGTGAACGAGCAAACTATTCTTCTACATGACTTGTTGGCGACTGTGAACAGTTTAAATACTTCCTCCACCCTCAGTTTACCTTTCGAAAATTGCGAATCAACAGCTTTAGGGAAAAAATCACCATTTTTCGTCGATATCAGACTGCATTTTAACATCGCGGTAATTCACTTCCACATTGCGTTGAAAAAATGACTTCGTCAATAATCGGAAAACTTCGTCTGTATGACACAACATTTTGATTGGTTAACGAAAGACGTGACCTGTTAGGTCAAAGGAAGTTGTTCAGGTCAAATCACAATGAAAAACACCATGGCGGTTTTGTATCAAGAGTTTGCGTACGATCAAAAACATTCCACAACGACGGGTATCATAACAACACTATACTTTGTGTATTACAGAACAGATATAGATGCTGTCATGGATGAAATAATGAGCAAAGAACCACTGATAACACCATCTAGATTAGAACAGGTCAGACAGCTAATACAGAGGTTACAAGAAAAGCTTGCACAGAGTGATGACCATAAATTTTATTTATTTAAGGTTTGTATCTGAGACAGTTATTCTGCTCACATTCAATGTTTGCATCAGACTAGTTATCCAATGTGATATGCACTTATTATAACACCGAACTACAAAATAAACTAATCATAAATACCATGATCACCCTATTAATCTCTTGCAACATCAGTGTTCTCCCCAGGATGTAAACAGCGTGGCGGTCCCGCCACAGTGCTTTGATTTGCCGCCACACTGGTCTGACACCGCCACGGTGATTAGCAAGACCGCCACAGTGCTTCTTTTCATTGGGGGATCTCGTCACGCTGGTCAGCCTGACCAGCACTCAAAACTAGCGACCACTGCGGAAACGCTTCCGACTATTGTCATATTGTTATTATATTTACGTACCGACCAACACGCATCCTGCCAGTTGTGGATAATAATTTTTAAACAATTGACATAGTCGCGTGATGTGGTAGCGGCTTTGAACAATACAAGTCAATTTTGTAAAATTAGCACCTCTTTGTTTGTAAGTAAATACTTTCTGATGCAGTCTTTGGTTTGAAAGCTAAAATTCTTTCAAAATCAATTCCATCCGATACAACATGGGCAAATCGGAGTTCACGATCAGTTTACGCTACTCAAGAAAAAAACAACGTGTTTATTGTTATTGGGTAAAATACATTTGAACTGTTATCATCGTGAATTATGTAAAAACTCTTCTTTCAATAATTTTTTTACCTTTTAAAAATTTCTAATCACCTCTTTCGAAAACCATCATGCAGTTTTTATCTGAAATTCATACAAACACATCGTGCTACGACATCGCTTTACTTCCGCAATGTAATTTTTATGATCACGATCATTCGGAAAACTTCGGGTTCTACCGGCATTATCATGCGGCATTTTGATTGGTAAATAGCGTTTTTGACCCACCGGGTCAAAGGACACATGCCGGTCAATTAATGCGTCATAACTATCATGGCGGGTCTGTGTTTTTCACCGAAGTGATCGAGTGATCAAAAATAATTTCTCCTGATAAAACTAGCTCAAATTTTACGTTTTTTCATATAAAAAAAAGAAGTATTTAATTTATTGCATGACATCATGATCGAGTAAGAGGAATTATTGGTATAACCGGTGTATAACATCGTGAAGTAAGTTATGTCACGTCGTAACTTTGATCATTTGGAAGTGTTATTTGTTCGTTCATTTACTGTAAATGTAAACGTTAGAAGCTGATGGTCGGAATAATAACCAACAATCCGCCAACTAACTACATGGTTGATTTTTTGAAGGAGAATTTTGTAGTAAATAAGATCATGAAAGTGGTGAACATAATCCCGGCTCAAACGTTTCAAATGAGTTTCATTTAACTTTTTACAATTCATTTGTTTCTTTTTAGTCTGCAGCATTTGCATTTTGAAAATGTTTCATTTTTAAATTCAAACTCTTCTAAATTGTGAAACGTAATATTTTGACTCCAACAAAAAAATATTTTCCCTGTGACAGAGCTCATTAATATTACAAAAGTGCCCAAAATAAAAGTGTTTATAACACTGTGTGAAGCAAATAAATATCTGCCACTTTGTTTTTAAAAATACATGTTGTTTATTGTGTGGGTGTAAATGTGCTTTGGTCAATTTCTATTATTATGTAAATGATATGCAAATGATATGCAAATTAGACCGCCACAGTGGTTTAAATTCCTGGGGAGAACACTGTGATGTATAACGAAAATATAAAATTTAAATATAATAAGTCAAAACATTTAAGAGATATGGCTCTAGAAGCCCAATCATTAAAACAAAATAGCCACCAGACAGCCATTTTAAATCCGATCTGAAAAATAATTGATGTGCATCAGGAACCTGTAATGTCTAATACCGTACTCGACCGCGTTAGCGCCCATGCCCGGGCAAGCGCCTACCCCCCCACTTTTGTGCAATTTTTATATTTGGGGTCACATTCAAAATGCAACTAATTTAAAACTTGGTCTTGCGTAACGAATCTTGGTAATCGTTTTTATATGATACAGCGTGGATATCGATCGCTGTGAACATGTGAATACGTAGAACACGGTAACCGTGCGTAAACTACGCTTCGACAATGACCTGTTAATACAAGTAAAATGCGATAAATATTTCATGCCATATTCAGTTTACCTCTCAAAAATGGCTAGTTACTAGTTTTTCGGAAAAACCATGTCATTTATTCGCTGAAATCAATCCCAACAGATCGTACTTCGACATTGATTATTCACTTCCGCATTGCGTTACCGAAAAGTCTTCGGGAATTTCCGAAGAATTGCGTCAGTACAACACAGCATTCTGATTAGTTAATAACCAACTTGACCCATTAGGTCAAAGGACGCTGCTGTAGGTCAAATCTGCAATTGCATCATGGCGGAAAGTGATTTTCATCGAGAGTTTGCGTACGTTCCAACAACTTCGTCAGTGGAAATAATATGACA